TAGGAGCAAGTCAAGTGACGAGTTCGCCACCAGGCAGTTCGCCCCCAGGCAGTTCGCCACCAAGTAGCTCGCCACCAGGCAGTTCGCCACCAGGGAGCACTACCAGGCAGTTCGCCATCAGGTAGTTCGCCACCAGGCAGTTCGCCACCAGGCAGTTCACCATCAGGCAGTTCACCACCAGGGAGCACTACCAGGCAGTTCGCCACCAGGCAGCTCGCCATCAAGCAGTTCGCCACCAGGGAGCACCACTAGGCAGTTCGCCACCAGGCAGTTCGCCCACAGGCAGTTCGCCAGCAGGTAGCTCGCCACCAGGTAGTTCGCCACTAGGTAGTTCGCCACCAGGTAGCTCGCCACCAGGTAGTTCGCCACTAGGTAGTTCGCCACCAGGGAGCACTACCAGGCAGTTCGCCACCAGACAGTTCGCCATCAAGCAGTTCGTCACCAAGTAGTTCTCCCCCAGGGAGTTTGCCACCAAGTAGCTCATCACCATGGCACGTCACCACCGGGTCAAACAACGAGGTACTTAGCCAAAAAATTTATACATCACAAAAAATGGTATACATCAGGTATCATTTATCCGGGTAAGTGATACCCATCTCTTAAGTGGATAAATTAACTTTCCCATATAAGAGAAAATTGACAATATTTGGATGTAACAAAAATGCCCCTTTTAATAATAAAATTTTTATGGATAAAATGGTCATTGCCTTATTTACATGAGAAATAAAAGAACATGGATAAATGTACTTTCCGAAAAAGTGAACGGAGCATTAGTGATATTATATATATTCTATGGTTTCAGTTGCATTGATATAGCAAGAGGTAGACGCTGTTCTATGAGGTACCCTCTTGTTGTGTATAGTTTTAATTGAATGAATAATATTGAGGTGGCCACCACTCTTTTGTCAATAAAGTTTATTACGAATGCAATCACGTATTGATAAGATTGTACAATCTTTTGTTTGCCAATGTTACTTTGAAGGTCAGCATCTTGTTAATTTTCTTTACGGGGAAATCTCTTAAACTACTTAGGAAATGGACTTACTCTATCTTACTGCCCTATTGTTAGCATCTCGTCATAATATGTTCAATCCAATCTAATAAATATTTTGGATCAGATTTGTCCAATCTAATGTATTTTATTGATTCGTCTAATCAGTCTAAATTGATTTTGGATTGGACGGGGTCCAATC